ACGTAACTGGGAGGTGGGGAGCCAGGATTTAAACTCAGGCAGTCTGGCTCCAGAGCTGAGGCTGTTACTACAACATGACTCCACTGACCCAAAGGCCAGTGAGATACAAGGTAAGAGAAGGTTTTCTGGTAGTGGATTCTTCTCATCACAATACTCATGATTGCAATCTTTGGTGTTCTGAGACTTTCTCAGCCACCCTGGTCTTTGTGTGAAATAGAAATAGGTGTCTACTCCATGCAGACACAGGTCCATGGTAGTTGTGGTCCGTTAGTTCTTTGGACTATCTTTTCCTTGTATTTTGTTTTCTTCATTGTCCCTTGCTCTGGAAGGGGTAAGACCACTGGAGTATCTTAGATGGCTGCTCACAGGCTTTTAAGACCCCAGACGCTACTCACCAAGGTCGAATGTAGAACATTGTCTTTATAAACTGTGTTATACCAGTTGAGCTAGATGTTCCCTGAGACCATGGTCCCCACAGCCCTCTGCCCAACAATTCATTCTCTCAGGGAGTTTGGATGTGTATATGGAGCTTCCGTGACCTTTCCTTGTACAAGTCGTGCTGGCTTCCCCAATATTGTGTGCTGTCTTACCCTTCACCAAAGGTACCACTTATCTATTGTCTATTCATTATTCCCCCCACACCCTTCCCATCCCTCATAACCAAAAAAGATTGTTTCTTTCTGTGTGTAAAGTTTTTCATGACTTTTTACGGTAGAGGTCTCCTACAATATTTGTCCTTTTGTTATTGACTTATTTTACTCAGCATAATGTCCTCCGGTTTCATCCATGTTATGAGATGCTTCACAGATTCATCATTGTTCTTAATTGTTGGATAATACACCATTGTGTGTATGTACCATAGTTTGTTTATCCATTCATCTGTTGATGGGCATCTAGGTTGTTTCCATCTTTTTGCTATTGCTTACACTGGAACTCTTGTGCCGAACATAGCCTAAACAACTGTACATTGTGGTCCTGGTGGTTGTGTGTCAATCTGTCACTGTCCTGAGCCCTGAGATGGGGGAAGAAAGGAAACTATCCCCAATCCCTGAAGAGCCCCCTTGTTGAATCTCCTTGGTCCTTACCTTCTGCAGCTGGTCTGCTTCACCACCCCTAAGTGCTGTGGTCATGCTCTCTCTTCTTGAGCTCTTCCGGGGATGGGGAGCTTACCATTTTGAAAGGCAGCCAATTCTATCATTGGGTAGTAGAGGGAGAGGAGTTGGAGAGGTAGTTTGGGGCCAGATTTTGGGGGACATTGCAAGTAAGTTGATGGCAAGAAGATTGACTTGAACGGAGTGGCAAGGCCTTAACATTAAACTGGTGAGAAGGGGAGGAAAGAAAAGGGGGAGAAGTGGGAGGGCGTTAGCTATCAAGAGAGGAGCTCATTTGGCTAAAACAGGGATCCCAGTCATTTTCTGGGTAGAAGAGCAATGTGTTGAAGATGGTATTTACATAAGATCATGTTGGCAGTGATGTAGGGGCAGAGGGGAGCGAGGAGAGACTAGAGGCTCTGGATTGGTCTTTGTGGACAAGTGAACCACATCCAACCTCATGACCCACAGCAATTTGCCAGGCTGCCATGAGCAGTGTAATTTCTTCCCATGTGATGGGTCAGGCTGGTAAACGCCCCTGCATTTGTATGTATAACACTCACCCCCCTCTTCTGTTGCCGTCAGAAGATTCTGATGATCTGGCTTTGAAAGAAGTGGTGACATTTGATGGGCAGACTGGTACCTCCAAGCCCCTTTACCCCAAGGCAGAATGCACTATTGTTCTCTCCATCAAATCAGCTCAAGATATCCCCTTCTGGGAGGCCTTTCTTAACAAACCTCCTTCTACAGTCCCCATTTAATCATCTCCTGTAACTGCAGTAGACACGTGGCTGTTTCTGGCATCATCCATGTGTGACTGTCTCATGTCTCAGGGGAGAGTGTCAGACTATTTGCTTCCTCCTGGATGTACAGAACACATGTCCTCCTTCCTCAGAACGTCTCATCATAGAACTTAACGTTACTCAATAAATGATGGAACAGAAGTGCTCTTACCTAAACTTTAGCGTTCATGCCATCTTATGCACCTTGTATTGACTGCCTTTTCCACAAATCTTTGAGAGCTGACTTGCTGTCATGAGAACTGTTCCCATAGAGGTAGGTTCATGCAGAGGCTGAGATGTGAGCAAATGTGTCTGTTCCAAGCCCAGGATAAGCACCTACTGGAGGAGGGAGGAACTCTGTGACCTACAGTGCATCCTGAGTTGCTCTCTACTATTTTTTTAATCACCTGTAGCTACTTCACTGAGTGGTGCAACTGATTAATGCACTCCGCTGTTAATTGAAAAGTTGGCAGTTCAAGTCCACATAGAAGTGCCTCATAAGAAAGGCCTGGCAATCTACTCCCAAACAGTCAGCCATTGAAAACCTATGGAAAACAGTTCTTCTCTGACACACATGGGGTCTCCATGAGTCAGAATCGACAAGATGGCAACTGGTTGCTTGTAACTAGAAGGTATTCAAGTTAGCAAGTTGTCTACCCTGCTGCATGGGGCCAGTGGGCCGTGATCACTCCCTGACACTCAATCAGGACTTCCTTTCCTTCTCGAGGAGATGCCACAGCTGCCTGGAGTGCCCCACCTGTCTTAATCCCTCTGCTGGGGAGGCCTTTCCAGCGTACCTCCTGCAGAGTGTGTTGTTTTCCTTGGTCCATGCTCACTCACTAGGAGCTGTTAGATTCTGATAATCTCTCTTTGTAGCCAGGATGACTGCTGCTATTACCCCCAGGGGTTCCAGGCTGCCAAGACAATCACACACTCTGGGATGTGAGGGGGCACACAGGGGCTATTACCCCCAGGGGTTCCAGGCTGCCAAGACAATCACACACTCTGGGATGTGAGGGGGCACATAGTGGCTAAGAATGGGCGATGGTTTGAGGGGAGGCTCAAGGTCTCCCAACCAGTCAGGTCTCTTCTTCCACCATTTGGGTAAGCTGGCTGCATTTTAGATACATTTCAGATGGGCTTGCTACACAAGTGGGCATCTTCAGCAGGAGAGTGACGCAATCCCCACACATGGCAGATAATTTAGTCCACTTGTCTCTCGAAACCTCAATCGGATGAACCTTGAACACATGCTAAATGAGGTAAGTGGGTCAGAAAGGGACAAATATTGTATGATTCCATTTGTATGAAATATCTAGAATAGTCAAGTGTATAGAGACGAAAGTTTATTGGTGGTTATCGGGGACAAGAGAGAGGGAGGGGAAAAGAGGGACTCACTGCTTAGCGGACACTGAGCTTCTGTTAAGGTGATGTGAAAAATTTGGAAATGGATAATGTTAATGGTGAACAACATTATAAATATAACTAATGTCACTGAATCGTACATGTGGAAAATGTTGAAAAGGCAAAAAAAATTGTTGCATATATATTTACCACAATAAAAAAGTAGATACACAGCATGCAAAGATCTTCTTTTGAAGTAATTATTCTGCAGAGTTCTCTCTTTAAAAAAAAAGCAAAAAACCCCATCCTGAGTGCACGTGTGCAGGGCTTAGTTCTGAGCCTGGGGCAGGAGATGATTGAGGTGGGAGGGGTGTTGAGACGGACAAGACTTTCCTTGCCCAGTGTGCTGGTGGAGGTGAAACACTCAGGTGCCAACACAGAGGGCAATGACAAACGCAGGAGCAGCTGGACAGTCATTCATCCTACCTGTGAGCCCACAACGGCTAGGCAGTGGGCAGTGGGGAAACAGAGTGTACCAGACAGATATGGCCCTGCCCTGGTGGTTCCCACTGCTAAGTGGACAGGGCCACAGCCATCATTGCAAGGGAGAGGCAGGAAGGGATGTAGGTAGCCGAACCCACAGGGGACTGAGGAGACACAGTTGAAAGGTGAAGAGACTGGGCTCAGGATGTGAGAGAGGAGACATGGAGACTGCCTGGGCAGCAATGTGAACAATAGGAACAGAGAAGTCCCCTCATCAGGGTGTCACAGGGAGATAGAAAGGATGTTAGGGAGCCTCTTGGTCACCCAAAATGGTAGTGAACAGTGCAAAATCTCAGATGAGTGTCCACTCATTCAGGCCTCTAGTCCACTCATTCAGGTGAGTCTGGGGCATTCTAACTTAACCCGTCCCCTCTGCTACTAGAATAGCTAAAGAAGTGCATGAAGTGTTGAGACCCAGGGACAGACCATGCAAGGCTCTCTGGTGCAACAATTAGGAGGAATCCAACATTGCACTCAATCCTCCCAAACTCTTCTCAGATTCCTTTCCTATGTGAGTTTTACTTGTTCTTGGAGGTGGACAGCAGAGTGACAGAGGTGGACACCTAAGGTTTTTGGGGGAATGAAAGAGCCACAGAGTCACCTAATTGAACCTCCTGCCTCCTGATAAGCTGGTGTCCAGGGCCCTGGGGCTGGGCCATGCCTGGCAGGAACTTAGCCCATTCACTCATAATCCTGCACAGAGTCTGTACACAGCTGATTATAAGAAAGGCGTGGAGACTCCAGATGACAACCAAGGAAATTGATGTGGGGATTAATTTTAACCAGAGAACGAAGCTCAGGATTCTCAATTCTGTTCCATTGGTCTGTGTATCTGTTGTTGTACCAGTACCAGGCTGTTTTGACTACCGTGACTGTATAATAGGTTCTAAAATCAGGTAGTGCGAGGCCTCCCACTTTGTTCTTCTTCTTGAGTAATGCTTTACTTATCTGGGGCCCCTTCCCTTTCCATATGAAGTTGCTGATTTGTTTCTTCATCTCATTAAAAAATGCCGTTGGAATCTGGATCGGGATTGCATTGTATCTGTAGATCGCCTTGGGTAGAATTGACATTTTCACAATGTTGAGTCTTCCTATCCATGAGCAAGGTACGTTTTTCCACTTATGCAGATCTCTTTTGGTTTCTTGCAGTAGTGTCTTGTAGTTTTCATTGTATAGGTCTTCTACATCTCTGGTTAGACTTATTCCTAAGTATTTTATCTTTGGGGGCTATTGTAAGGATGTGGATACTTTCTACATGACCAAACTGGACTTGGAAACCCAAGTGGAGAACCTGACCAATGAAGTCAACTTCCTGAGAGCCATCTATAAAGCTGTGAGGACCTTTATTCTTTCTTTTAGGTGAAAGTCACAGCCCTGGGGTGTCAAATCTTGCTTGATTCTGGAGATTCAGCTTCTTTGTGAATTCTATTTGGCAGCAAATATATGCAAAGTCTTTCCCATCTTTATTCAAATTCCTTCTTCATTTATCCCATTTTACCTTCTTCCACACCCTCATTGCAGCCCCTGGGTAGTGCAAACAGTTAAAGTGCTTGGCTACTAACTGAAAGGTTGGAGGTTTGAGTCCACCGAGAGGTGCCTTGGAAGAAAGGTCTAGCGATCTACTTCTGAAAAATCAGCCATTGAAAACCCTATAGAGCACAGTTCTACCCTGACACACATGGGATTGGCATGAGTCAACATCAACTCCATGGCATCTGTTTTTTTTTACCTCCATCATATTGCTCACCTTCTCCCTCTCTTCTTCTTCCTAAGGCTCAGGATACCCAGTATCTGCTATTCATGTCTTTAGAATCCCTATATTCAGAGTCACAAGGGAAATCTTGGGGGAGTGACTAAGAGGACAGTCAAGGATAACCTCTTACCGCATGCTAAACAGTGTCCTGCTGCTTGGTTGTTACCTTCTTTCCCCTTCATAAGCTTTGGTTTTCTAGGCTCCATAACACTCCTGAACCAATAGATGGAAGGTTCAGGGCATCCCAGAGAGATGCTGACAACTACTCAATGGTCTCCCCTATGTGTGTGTACGAGTACAACCAAGTCCTATTGGAATCCAGTGATATGTCCGTGGTCTTGTCCATGGACAATAACCGCCACTTAGACTTGGACAGCATCATCTCTGAGGCCAAGGTCCAGTATGAAGAGATCACTGAGAAGAGCAAGGCTGAGACCCAGGCCCTGTACAAGACCAAAGTGAATAAGAGTCACCACATTAGCTCGGATCCCATGAGACTTTCCCAGGGCTCCTGCTCCTTCACTTCCAGCCCCTCTTGGCACCATCCCAAATAATACATATTTTATTCAGTGGAAAACCCACTGAAATTCCTTTCACAAATTACCATAACTTGCAGAGACTTTGTGGTGTCTTTTCACTGCCTGATATCTTTAAGGGCAACTATGAGCTTCAGTTAAGTGATCCCCTCCACTCTAAATGCCTGGTGGACTTTCATATGACATTAGCAATTTCTGGATTGATGGCAATCATAGTCCCCTTCTCACACACACAAACAGTTCAGGGTCATGAGTAATCTGTCCCTACTTTCTCACCATCCCCACTCCAGCTTCGGTTGCTGCAGACCACAGCTGGCAGGCATGGTGATGACCTGAGGAGCACCAAGAATGAGACTGCTGAGTTCAACAGGATGATCCAGACGCTGAGGGCAGAGATTGAGAGTGTCAACAAATAGGTGGGTGCAGCTCACTCAAAGCCTAAGATTGTAACTCTGATGACAGTGGTGCTGTGGGGTGCCATCAGGGCACCTGGACTCCACAGACTGGGGGGCCTCTCTGGCTTCTGGGCTGGAGCCTTCAGCAGTGGGGCTTCCCAAATGGTACCATACAGAGTAAGGGCTTCAGCTATCTTTACTTCCATCCACCATCTTCAAGGTGGAATCATCTTCCCTCAATCCAGTGGGCATGGCCTCAAGACTCCATGAAATATGTGAGACTGCGTTTCTGCAGTCTCAGACCATGGATTATACCTCCCTAAAAGATTGGGAAATAGCTATCCATTATCCCTGGGTAAGGGCTCAAATAACCATTGGAATTTGCCAGCATGGTTTATCTGCATGAGTATGAATGATATGGGCAGAAGAGGTTAGTATGGGAAACTTCAGAGCACACAGGTTGGAGATTTGCATTAAGGAGACAAATGGGGACCTGTGCTCACTTGCTACATGCCCAGCTGTGTCCAGAGACTCAGCACACTTCCTCTTCTTCCTCTTGCTTCAAAATGCCAATCTGCAGGCAGCAATTACTGACTCTGAGCAGTGGGGTGACCTGACCCTCAAAGATGCCCAGACCAAGTTGGCAGAACTCAGAGAGGTTCTGCAGCAGCTCAAGGAGAACTTGGCCCATCTCCTGTATGACCACCAGGACCTGATGAATATCAAGCTGGCTTTGGATGTGGAGATTGCCACCTACCAGAACATGCTGGAGGGCGAGGAGTGCAAGTGGGCAGGGACTCTGGCCAAGACAAGGAACCCAACTTGAGAACCAAGTGTCACAGTATTGCATGGTCCTTGGTTAGACCCACTGTGTTACAGTGGTTTTTATCCTTAGGTTTACTTCCTCTTGGTATTCCCCGGGCTCTAGAACAGTGGAGGTAGGGGGCAAAGGAGTGTCTCAACAAATCTTGACGAACTGAACTGTACTGCCCATCATTCTCTCTCTGGTTTCGGGGAAACCAGCTCTATAATATTTTCTAGAGCAGGACACTTAGGCATTCCTAGAAGGCACACAGTGCACCCTAAGAACAAATGTCAGCTACTCCTGGTATGATGAAGAATACAAACATAGGTCCTAGGTGGTCCTTGACCTTAACAGTGGAGATGAGACATATATATAAATAACTCTAATTTCTCATGAGTCCAACTATTTCCTCTATAAAAACAACCTAGGCGACTAGTTTTCCAGTTCAGCTTGTCCAACTATCTGTTGGAGTTTACCAGGTTAGCCCTCCCTGTCCCTAAACTCCATACTAAAGCTTCCCCTTCTCTCTGCACCAGTCACTCTTCCTCACCTTCCCATCTCTGTTAATGCTATCACTGCATAGTTGGAGGCTGTGAAGTTATCTAGAAAAAGCACCCAGATATGGATAGTGTCCATGGGCCTAGAAAAGATGATACAGGTAAGAGCTGTGTCACTTTCAGTATAGGTAGGCTTTCTACCTAGTTTAGTTTACTCTTCACAACAAACTGATGAAGAGATACATTATCCCAGTTTTGCCAATGAGGTAACCAAGGTCCAGGTGGTGGCAGAGCCAAGTCTCTAGAAACATTGTATCTCCATCTCTGTATCCTCATCCTAGCATCTCAGGTAAGCTCCTTCTCATGTATAACCTCAATCTCTGATGCTGTAGCTCCTATCACTGTAGCTTGGCATCCCAGGAGCTAATTCTGATAAGAGATTATCCCAGCTGGATAATTTCACCATGAGGTTTCCCTGATATTTATTTTGTTTTCCTAAACAGGATGTCTGGGGAGTGCCAGAGCCCAGTGTGCATCTGTGAGTATCTTGTATACTCATTTTCTATTGGCTTAGGTGATTTCTCAAGGCTTTGCATCAGCTCACCTATCCATAAATTACTTCTTTTATAGCTTAGTCCCCATAGTAACACAAAGGGAGGAACATAAGGGGAGTCACATAAGTTATATTTGGATAGGACTTATCTGGATGTCCTGTCCAGTGTGTGTTCTGGGCCCTTCATCGATTAGGGAGCTCCCACGCAAGAATCACCTCTCCATCTCTCTTTAGATTTTCTTTGCCTTCATTCCTCAGACAGGGCTTGGCATGTAATGGACATTTTGACAGAGTGTGACTGAGCAGCTTGTTCTCTTTGCAGCTGTGGTCAACCACACTTCCAGCTGCAAGAACATCAGTGCTGGGGGCAGCAGCAGCAGCAGCAGCAGCAGCAGCAGCGATGGTGGGAGGGTCAATAGAGGTGGTCAGGGCATCAGAAGGGGCAGCACGTCCATGACTGTTGGGAAGGGCATCCAGTCTGGAAGCACAAGCATCTCCATTGGTCACAGTCCCAGAGTTATCAGTTCATAGTCCTCCTCCTTGGCCAGGGTTGTGCAGACAACCACCAATAGCCAGTGCTCCTGTGTCAAGTACTGAGACTGGGACCTGATGCTCCATTGCAGAGACTCCCCCTGCCCTTAGCCATATCTTTCTGTAATAGCTCCCCTTCCCCAGGGTGGGTGACAGCATAATCTCATCCCTTTGGATTCCTGGAGCCAATAAGGGGTCCAGATAGACATTGTCGTGTTTGGAGTTTGTCCCTGAGCTCATAACCCATTCCCTTATTGCCTTTATGTTTTCTTGTATATAAACTCTGCTTTGCCTCTTCTCAGCTCACTGTTTTCTTGTCTTCATTAAACTCCAATATGTTGCACTGCATTTTGGCTTTATGAGTTTTGTAGGACAATAGAGACTCATGGTGTTTTCTGAATCAGAGGGTGACACACTGGAAATGTGGCCTTCTGAAAGTTATGTTAGCAGCTGTGTGTGGAGCGAGTGGGAGATGAAGAGAGAATGGGGGTGCTGAAAGAATCTTTGGGGTTAAGCAAACTGGGTCAAGATTTACAATCTACCCAACTGCCACAATCTGGTTCACTCTTTCTAAATCCATCCCAGGGCAGGCCACACTGAGGCTGGCGCACTTCTTATACTGGCTTCAGTGGTCCTTGCCAAGAGTTCCATACTCAGTGATAGCCAACTGACTAGCTGAAGTGCCCAGCCTGGGTCACATCATATCTCCCCTTGGGGACTTTGGGCCAGGCTGGTGGGATAATGGGCCAAAAACTTCCCCTGTACCCACACTGCTTATGGCTCAAGGACAGCCACCTATCTCCCCAGTAAGACAGCTCACCGCCCCCACAGCTCACCACCTCCCCAGCTTCATCTGTTTGCCTTCTGCTGGTTACTTTCTGCCTGCTCGCCTTGCCAAAATTTTTGGCTTGTTCCAGGCTCAGCAGCTGCCTCTTGTTATCTCACCTCCAGTTCTTGGGACTTGAGCTAGCAGCTTACCTGTTGATCTTGGAATTCGTCAATCTTCACAGCCTGCAAGCAAGAGTCCTGTTCCCCGACCTGCTGATCTTGGGTTTGCCAGCCCCTGCAGCTATGTGAATCAGGAGAAACCTTGTGGTCTTGTCTGCTGATCTTGGAATTCGTTGACCTTCACAGCCTGTGAGCGGGAACCCTGCTCTCCAACGTGCCGACCTTGGGTTAGCCAGCTTCTGCGGCTGCATGAATTGGGAGAGGCCTCTACCATGATCCATGGACTTGGGATGTTTTAGCCTCTACAATTGCATGAGCTGTTTCCTTGATATAAATCTTTCTCTATATATACTTACATGCTTTACTGGTTTTGCTTCTCTAGAGAACCCCGCCTAAGACAGACTTATTTAGTAGTTACTATCTGCTCAGACTGTATTCTCAGCACTCCACATACAACTCATTTAATCCTCACAGTGATCCTATCAGATAGCTATTATTATCTCCATTTTAGAGATGAGGAAAAGGAGGCACAGAGAGATAAAGTGACTTGCCCAAGGTCACACTGTCAGCAAGTGGTAGAACCAGGGTTTAAAAAGAAGAGTAGTTGGAACCAAGAGTCCATACTATACTATATTAATCATGCATGTGAAGTTTGTTTCTTCACAATAGAGTTGAGGCGGGAGACTGTTTTCTGGTCTTTGATGGCAGAGACTTACATTATTCAGAGGAGCTCTAGTGGTGCAGTGGTTAAGTGCTTGGCTGCTAACAAAAAGGACAGCTTTCTGACCCACCAGCTGCTCTGTGGGAGAAAGGTGTGGCAGTCTGCTTCTGTAAAGATTTACAGTTTTGGAAACCCTATAGGGTAGTTCTACTCTGTCCTATAGGGTTGCTATGAGTCGGAATCGATTTAATGGCAATGAGTTTGGTTTTTTTGGTTTGGTTTGAGACTTTACATCTCATATTGGTAGCCCTGCTCTGTCCTTGGTGCTGAATCTGGGTCCAGGTGGCTGGGGGAAGCTTCTCTTTCAGGAGGACGAAGCTCATGATTGCTCCCTCCAAACTCATGTCTCCAAGTCCCTACTTTAACTCTGAGCATTGCGATTGGGCTCACAGATTTCCTGCCTATGATCAAGTAAACATTTTCTCCAAAGCTCAACTTTACAATAGGTCCAGACTCTGTCCATTTTATTGTGTTCTCTTTATAACTAGATTAAAAACCAATTTGTCTCTTTTGAAGAAATCTTTATGGATAATTAAACTTACGTATACTAGCATGTTTTCTTTTTTTGCCTCAGTTTCTGGGGAGTATTTGTCATTGGGTGAACAAAATATTTGCTTCCTCTTTTAACATGAAGTATTCTTTTTAATTTAACTCTCTTATTATTGGGATGAGAGGGATATGAAAGTATGTTAAAAAGCTAGTCTTTTCTTAACCGAGGCTAAGCTTATGCTGAGCAACAGTAGAAACTGGGCATTCCCAGAGGTACAGGGTGACTTACAATATTAGCCATTATTATTCAGTAACGTGGTAATAAGAATAATATCTGCCTCTCAGGATGTTTCAAGGAATACACAAAATAATATATGTAAAAAGTGTTTTGTAAAATGAAAGATGTTCATACAGATATTGTGCTACATGTATACAAGTTTTGATCAGCCACTAGATTAGAAACTCTTTAAGGAAAGAGGCTATGCCATACAGAGTTTGTATGTCACACAATACTGGACAGAAAATGTGCACTCAACAAGCACTTGTTGACTGATGGATTGATGAAATGATACAGCTTGGCATAATTCCTAGAACCAGATAAGTACTCAGCAAATGAGAGATACCACCGTCATTATTTCTAGGGTTACCACTGATTTGTGAGGAATCAGACTCTGAAGGCTAGAGATGACTTCAGAGGCTATCAAAAGGAGCCCCCACTTAGATGCTTGAGTCCTCTCTAAAACACTGTCCACAAGTGGCAGTCTCACCTCCTGTGGAGGGTAACTCCTCTTTCTCACAGAAGACCATATCCTCCTCTCAGGAAGTTTTCCCTTACATGAAGCTAAGTCCTACCTAGAAATTCCACTCATTAGTCCAAGTTTTTCTCTCCGTGGCTATAGGGAGCAGGCCTAAGTCCCCTTGTGCACAAGAGTCGACAACTATTTGAGGACAGTTGTTCCCTTTATCGAAATTCTTTCTCCATGTAGAACACTTCCGTTTCCTCCTCTCTTTGAGGTGCCCTGCCCCCACCATCCTGGATCCTGTCTCACAGACATCTTTTGGGTTCCTAGAACCCATCCCAACTCTCTAGGTGAGGCTTGAATAGCCCAGGAAAGGGTGGGCATGTGGCTTCTCTCTGTGCATCCTCTGATCTTGCATTTGATTTTGGCCATTCCTTCCTGGTGCTGACTCACCCTGAGTCGGCACCATTTTATACAAGCCCTTAAGAATCCGTGTCTCTCCATGCTGACCGTACAGCTGTTTTGTTTGAATGCACGTGTAGGGTTTTACATTAATCTCTGTTAAATATTTCTGGTTAGATTTGACTCAAGCTCCAGACTGTCAAATTATTTTTGGATTCTGATCCTGCCATCCAACCTTACTTATTACTCTTACTAGGTTCAAGCCAGTTATATATTTGAGCTATGTGCAAAGACGTTCTCATTTGTGTGTACTGGACAGAAAAAACTGCTATTCAAAGCAAAATCTGCTTATTTATAATGGGGAAGAAAGATATCATAATTAGTCTCAAGGAAGGTGGATCTTTTAAAAAATCCTTTTTATTATGGAAAATGTCAAACAAATATAACAGTAGAGATGATAGTGCAATGAAGCTGTCTGTATTCATTACCCAACTCAACAATCCACTCATCTTGTTTCCTCTCTACCTTACCCACTCCTCCTACTTACAGATTATTTTGAAGCAAATCCCTGATGTCAGATTATTTCATCCATAAATAGTTTTCTAAGTTTCTCTAAGATAAAGACAGTTTAAAAAAAGTCATAACACCATTATTACCCTTAACAAGATAAGCATTGTTTAATGTGATCAAATATCCGGTCAGAGTTCACATTTTCCCCAATGGCTCACAAATTTTTCACTGAAATTGCTTGTTTGAATCAGGATTTAAATAACATTAATACATTGCAATTTGTTGCTATATCTTTTAAGCCTCTCTTGGTCTTTAGAGTCCATTCTCTCTTTTTTATTCCTTGTTGTTTATTTGTTGAAGAAATCTGGTCATTTGTTTTGTAGAGTTAGTGTCCTACTAAGTTAATGTTCCCCCACCCTGCCCTGTGATATTGTTTAACATGTTCCTCTGTCCCTTGTATATATTTTAAAATTATTATACATTAAAATAGACTTTTTTGGCATGTATAGTTCTATAAATTTTAACAGTTATGCGTGTATGTATATATATATATTTTTTGGTATATTTTTTTATTGTACATTAGATGAAGGTTTACAGAACATACAAGCTTCTCATTAAACAGTCTACACCTGTATATATTTATAAAATCACCATCCTAATTAGAATACAGAACAGTTCTATCACTTCGCCAAACTCCATCTAGCTATTCTTTTATAGTCACACTCTCCCCCCATCCTTAATCCTTGGCAGCCACTGATATGTTCTCTGTTGCTATAATTTTATCTTTTTGAGAAGGTTGTATAGATGAATCACACTGTCATGGATTGAATTGTGTCCCCAAAAACATCTGTCAACTTGGCTAGGTCATGACTCGCAGTATTGTATGATTGTCTACCATTTTATCATCTGATGTGATTTCCCTATGTGTTGTAAACTCTATCACTATGATGTAATAAAATGGATTGGCGGCAGTTATATTGATGAGGTTTACAAGATTAGACAGTGTCTTAAGCCAATCTCTTTTGAGATATAAAAGAGAGAAGCGAGCAGAGAGACTTGGGGACCTCATACCACCAAAAAAGCAGTGCCTGGAGCAGGGTGTGCCCTTTGGACCTGAGGTTCCTGTGCTGAGATGCTCCCAGACCAAGGAAGACTGATGCATCACAAGGACCTTTCTCCAGAGCTGACAGAAAGAAAAAGCCATCCTCTAGAGCTGATGCCTTGAATTTGAACTTGTAGCCTACTAGACTGTGAGAGAATAAATTTCTCTTTGTTAAAAGCCTTCCACTTGTGGTATTTCTGTTATAGCAGCACTAGATGACTAAGGCACATGCCATAGGTAACATTTTGAGACTGACTTCTTCCACTGAGCATAATGCCTTTGGGACTGATCCATGCAGCTCTCTCTCTATGTAGGAGCTTTTAATATGCTGCCAAGTTTGATAAAGCACTAAGACTAGTGGGCAGTTTGGAGAATAGAAAATATCCTTATTTCTAAGTTCTCTGAGATTTAAACACTTAAAAAAAAGATAACTACAAAGAGCCTCTCTCCAATCCATTCTTCACCCCAAAATCCAACAACAGATCAGATGATGTCACTCTTCTGCTCAAAAGGCTTCAGAGGTTTCCCAGTACCTGCAGTATGAAGTTTGAACTATCATGTCAGACCAAGTCCCTCATGGTCTGATCCTTACTGACCTCTCCAGCCTCATCTCCCACATCTTCTCACTCAAATCCTATACTCTGGGCACACTAAATTGCTTGTGATTTCATGACTATGTCATGGTTTCACTTGCCCCCAGGACTCAGCTTATCTGCAGATATGCACAGATAGTCATGCTTTATGATGTCATCTGATTTTAAACTGCCTTTTATATCCAGACACTAAAGTTAGCCCCCTACCAGAGGGTCACCGATTGCCGTCAACCTGTTTTGTCTTGTTTTTCATTAAAATCTGTAGAGAAAAAGATTGCAAAGCCTTCCTTAGCACTACCCCTCAGAGTCTGCTTCCTTTGCAAGAAGTTCTCCCTAACATCTAGCCTCAGATAAGCTTAGTGAAATGCAACACCGCATCCTCATCTTGCTCCCAGGAGATAGTGAGACATAGTCCTCCTCTATATCTTCATGATCTACATGGTTTTCCTGCTGCTGCCCTCAACATGGCATGAGGTCCAGATTGGTACTTCCACTTACTTTTCGTTACCCACATGAATGGGTACTAAATTGCTATCAGGAAGGTCCAAGCTGGGGTGAGGGGTTGGGTGCTCAAGACCTGGCACCCAGAGGCTGAGGATGGGTGAGTGTGTGTTGGTGGCCCCAAAGTCAAACAGGTTGATTCCTGGCTGAGTAGCTGTTCCATACCAGTTAAACCTCTTCTTCCACCAATTAGGTGAATAATCAGGAGTCAGCTACTTTTCTAATGCACTTGAGTTGGGCATGACAAATGACCCTGGCAGGAGAAAAAACATTTCCCGAAAGAATGTTCTTGGAGGTTGTAATTAGTATGTCTACTCTTCCATGCCTTGCTCAAAGCTCCCATATTCAGGGTCCTGTGCTGAGTGTAGAGCAGGACCCATGCAAATGTCCATGTGCCCACTCAATCAAGCAAGAAGGTAATAGACAGGTCTTGGTAGAGAGTCCTAGAATGTGCAGGCTATTCATTTGATGGTCTGGTAGAGGTTGGGCTTCTCTGAACCACCCAGGCTTGAGGTGGTCTCTTGGTAAAGCTCTATATAAACCAAAACCAAACCAGCTGCCATCAAGTTGATTCTGACTCATGGTAACCCATGTGTGTCTGAGTAGAACTGTGCTCCATAGTGTAATCAATGGCTGTGATCTTTCATAAGTAGCTCACCAAGGCTTTCTTTTAAGGTGCCTCTGGGTAGCTTCAAACCACCAGCCTTTTTGTTAGTAGCCGAGAACTTAACCATTTGTACCACACAGGGACCCCAGAGCTCTATAAACTGGAATGGAGAACACTGTTTTAGCCAGCTGGGCACTGTCCAGAGGTAAGGAGAGTTCTTTATTCAGAAGAAGAAGGAAAAAGCTTTACCTGACTTCCGAGACTTGATGACCCCAACATCTTGAGGTTCTTCCCTCCCACTCTGGTGGAGGTGGTTCCCAAGAGTGTTGGAGGGGCTTTCTCTAGGGAGGACCATGCTTTCCACCCAATTTCCTGAGACAAAGTTCTCCTAGGAGACTCTTCTGTCTTAAGAGCTTGGATTTGAGTGACAGAGGCCAATGACCTAGGTCACTGGAGATGGAAGGAACACGGAAAGTCACCTAATTAGACCTTCACAATGAGCAGATGCCTTGAAGTATGGAATCGGTCCCAGTAGGAAGTAGCCTATCCAAGCCTAGCCTTGGATCTGTTGAAGGCAAATAAGACTAATGCTGTAGAAAATCAAAGCAGGATTAAGCCTAAGATGTGTTTGGGATTTGAGGCATTGACCTGTTTTGGCTAGAAAACCAAACTCAAGAAACCATGAAATTAATGAACCAATTCACCTGGGAGCTATAAAAAGGGTCACCCCTGTCCCTATCTAGAAGGCGCCTTTTCCTCTGAGGTTTTCTGAACCAGGATGTCTTCCTGCATCCAGAGAAAATGATGAGCCAGCAGTCCAGCAGGCCCTCCCAGGCCACCAAGGCTTCAGTGGCAGCTCTGCCATTGTGGTGGCTGGCTAGAGCCACCCCAGCTCCTGCAGGTCCCTGTAGGCTTCATGCTGTTGGGGAGGCAGTCCCGCCACAGCCTGCACCATGATCAGGGGTGCCTTTGGCAGCAGGAGCCTGCACATTCTTGGGGGCAGCAAGATCTCACTCAGTGTGGCCAGAGCAGCCGCCCTGCCTGAGGGTTCAACACGGGGATGCTCTGGTGCCTTTGCGGGGAGCCTGTGTGGGACCAGAGAGAAGGGGCCCGAGTGGTGGCTTTGGAGGAGGTTCCTTCAGTGTTGGAGGGAGACCTGGTAGCTTTGGAGGAGCTTCTGTTGGAGCTGGGGGATTTAGGGGTTCGGGGGGCTTTCCTCTGGGCATCCAGGAGATGACCATCAACCAGAGCCTTCTGCAGCCCCTGAACATGGGGATTGACCCCCAGATTGTGGAGATGAAGACCCAAGAGAAGGAGCAGATCAAGACCTCAACAATAAATTTGCCTCCTTCATTGACAAGGTGAGGCCTATTGGTGACCTGGGGCCCTGGGTGGGGGAAGGCCCGTGGCCCTGAGAGCCTCTGGGGTTGGGGGACACGACAGTCCTGGGCTTGGGTGGCAGATCTGCTCATGAGTGGGAGCCTGGGCAGGACGTGACCTTTCCTCTGTGGTTGATGACAGATAAGTTTCCTGGAGCAGCAGAAGAAGGTGCTGGAGACCAAGTGGTGCCTCCTGCAGGAGAAGATAGCCACCTCCAAGGCCAGTGTCAACGATGTGTGTGTGTGTGTGTGTGTGTGTAGATATAAATATATATTTTCATTTTTATTGTGGTGAAATGTTTTTAACAAAACATTTGCCTATTCAACCATTTTTACATGCACAATTAACAAGCACATAGTTTAAAACGAATGAGAATGTGCTAATTGCTGATCTGATGTTCTCCCTCTTCAGGAAGTGGACATTTCCTACATAACCAAAGTGGACCTGGAGGCCAGTGGGGAAAGCCTAGTGGGTGAGATCAACTTCCTGAGAGCTGTCTATGAAGCTGTAAGGCCCTGTCCCATTCTGTGTTGAGTTTTAGGTACTAAACTCTCAAGTCCTTTTTTTCCCCCATTATTTGCTCTTTTCCTCCACATTTATTATCACACCTCCTGCTGAGCTTCTGGGACCTCTGCATCTTTGTGAAAACTGTCCATCTAGAAACTATCCTACCTTTCTTTCTTTTTCCTACCTTTCTTTCTGTGTGATCGCTAGCCCCTATGGATAACAGTCTCTGAGTCTCCTCCCCCATTCAGAGTGTCTGGACAAAGAAACCCATAGAAGCCACACAGCAGGAGTGGTGAACAGAGGCCTTTTGCTTCTTTAGGGCTGTTGGCTGATATTTTTGCCCACATTTTTGAAAGAAATCACTAAAAAGCTGATCTCGGGGGTTTGCAATGAGGACCTGCCAACTGGATGTGAACAGGATTGGCTTTTTGTCTACTCTACAGGAGTACAACCAGGTCCTGTTGGAATCCAACAACATTTCCTTGGTGCTGTCCATGGACAACAACTGGCACCTGGACCTGGACAGCACCATCACAGAGGTCAAGTTTCAATATGAGGAAATTGCCCAGAGGAGCAAGGCTGAGACCAAGGCCCTGTACCAGATCAAGGTGGATGAGCTGAACATCTTAGAGGAACCAATTTCCACTTGGGCCTTTCATTCTGGCCTAACTAAGCCACCCAAGTCTGAGGCCACTACATTTTTAGGAAAGGTAGGAACCCTCTAAGACACAGACTTCCTAGGTCCTCCAGGCTCCTGGAAGGGCTTGATGTGGTAGGTAGGTAGATTCAGGTGGTCAGGAGGGGCTTGACAAATGCCAGCTGTGATCATCAGCATTATCATCATCCATCCTATCAGGGCCACGGCTAGCCCATAGATGCCTTTGGGCTGATCACAAAAGGTGCCCCTCTAGGCAGATGCAGCAATGTTAGCCACAGGTTAGCAAGGAGAATGTGGGCTGGGTTTTAGCCCCAACTTGTGCCCTCAGCCAAAAGTAGAGGCCCTGCTTACCACTACCATCACCACCACTGCTATCATTGTTATCAACTCCATCATCACTGCTGTCATCAGCATCATCTTCATCACTGTTGGCTGAATAAGTTGCTTACTGAAGCAAGCCCAGCAGGATGAGCAGCACCATCCATGTTCTTTTACTTTGGAAAAATCACACCAATCTATCTCAAGTGCTTTTCTTCCATGGCACATTCTTTAGGGGCAATATCCTTCCAACACCCTTTGAACATACACCAAAGCTTGCCCTCTGTGGTCAGAGCTCATATTTTTCTTTTTAGGCCCTCTCTGACTTCCTGGTTGACAACTTCCTGTTCCTTCTCCCTTGCAGCTTAGGGAGCTGAAGACAACAGTTCGCAGGCTCAGCGATGACCCGAAGATCACCAATAATGAGATTGTGGAGCTCAACAGAATGGTCCAGAAGTTGCAGGTGGAGATTGAGACTGTCAAAATGCATGCACCTCTCAGCGGAGGAGAAGGGGAGGAAGGATGGGGTGCTCTGGCTGCTGGGCAGGCTCAGGGCTTCTGGGATTGGCCATATGCCATCCCCAACATCCCCAGGCTTGTGACCTAATTTTTTTTTATTGTACTTCAGGTGAAGGCTTACAGAACAAATAGTTTCTCATGAAACAGAAGTACACATATTGTTTTATGACATTGGTTAACAACCCC